GGGGGGGGGGGGGGGGGGGGGGGGGCGGGGTGGGTGGATGGGTGTCCCGAAAAACCGAAAACTATACACGAAATGCGCTTGCCTTGCCAAGCGCCGAAGCGAGCCGGAGACGGTGCATATATGTTGATCGGGTCGCTCTCGCACGCGTACGCTACCATGGCATGGGTAGATGAAAATTACTTGACGAAAAGAGGTGACGTCAGCGATGTGTCGACATACATGTACACAATACACACACAGACATGCACAGGGAGAGAAAGAGAGAGAGAGAGAGACATAGAGTTAGGAGGAGTGCGCGCATATACGCAACACAGAGTAGCAGAGTTACGTCCAAACTAGTCGGGCTGCCTGTCTCTCCCCGGTGTCTGTCGGGCAGCTGCTCAAAACGCGTCCGTCCACTACGTACATACACATCTGCATTCACACCCACACAAGCTGGCACACTCATTCGCCCACTTTGCCGCCTAGGTACAAAACCCTTCTATGCAAGACGCACACAGAAATGCAAAACAGACTCTCGCACACACACACACACACACACACACACACATCCATGCTTGTCCGCAGCGCTATAGAGGGAGAGGCCGCACGTGATTGACGTGCGTACGCCTCACTCACACACATACAGTACACACTATCAATCCATCCCTACTACCCCTCAGCCAACCAAATGGCCTTGCCATCCTCAAGCCAAAATTGCCACCCCTGCTGTGCTGTTGTCGCTGTCATCTGTCGGCATTGTCAGTGGCATCCGGTCGATCAGCACCTTGTCGTACTTCTCACATGAGTCGTCGTAGTGCAGGTCGCGCAACACGTTCTCGGGACACGCCATCCGCCTCATCGACGATCCGAAAGTCTCGTCAACAGCGGCCGCATCGAAGAGACTGCTCGTGTCCACATCGGCGCCAGTCACTTTGGTCCAGCACGTCTCGATCTGGGACAGCACGGGCCCTCGACAGCTCATCGCCACCATGTTGGGACCCCCATAGGCGTTCTGGATGGCGGCGACCGACACCTCCCGGCCGATGTGCTGACGGACAAGCTTGGGCGTGTCGCTCAGAAAGAAGGCGCGCGCCATCAGGGCAAAGTAGGCGACCGCACTGAGCCCGGAGCAGCTGCCGTGCCGCGCGTACTCGTGGTCGATGAAGCCGCCGCTGACGTTGAGAGTTGCCGAGTAGGCGGGCGCAATGCGCTGCCAGAGGTGCTGAAATCGACTCTTGACGTCGGCCGGTGCGCGGCAGTGCGGCAGCTTCTTCTGTGAGCGACGCGAGCAGCTTGCAAAGCCACCACAGAACTGAGGGAAGCGATAGGGCTGCCGCGCAGCAGCAGTCGTGTCATTGTACTGAATCAACACAGACCGCACACACAGAAACGGTATACTGTGCATCGCTCCATCTGCTCATGTATCCCTTCCTTGTGTGTGGACGCACTTGAGGCCACAGGCCATGCAGAGTGAAGTGCGTAGCGGCAAATGAGCCCGGCTTGATGGAGGTGCACTCGGCGCTGCCCTTGCCTTGCGTAAGGCACCACTCAGGCGCCCAACCCTCTGCCAGCACGTACAGGTCAAACGTGCCAGCAGGGACGCCCGTTTCTTGAGCAGTGACGCAGCATATGGCAAGGAGGCCGGAGATGACCAGCAGATGCGACAGATCTGAGAGCGGGGACCTCATCTCGCCTGAACAATCTCCCTCGGGAACCCTGTTGAGCTCGCATTCAGTGGCTGGGCAGTTCCACGATACCCACCCCTTCTGGGGACAGCAGGGCGAAGCGGATTTGCGCATCTGTCAATATTGATCCAGTTGGAGCATTTTCACTCATCCCATCTCCTCGCTGCTTCCCTCTCTCGCCCTGGAGCCCCACATCAGGCATGAAGGCATCGGCGCCCAGCAGCAAGGCCACAGCAGACGGCATCCACAAGCCAACAGAGGAGATGAGCGGCCGGCCGATGCTGCTCAATGTGGGCGGCTTCGTCATAGCGTTCCCTCGGGATGTGCTGCTGCGCGAGGGGCTGCGGGACACCTGCCTGGCGGTGCTGCTGAACCGCTTCGACAGCTGGATGATCACAGACGACAATCGCATTCACTTCATTGACGCGACCCCTTCTACTTCATCTGGTGAGGGGAGGGAGGGAAGCAACACATTGGTTGACAGGCAGCAGCACTCGCCGTGTGTGTGTTCAGGTTGGCTGTGAAGCTTCGTTACCTGAGCTCCAACCGCATCGACGTGAGTGAGATCATCGAGGGCTGCCCCGCACTGGCCTTCTACCACGACCGCTTCTTCGCCAAGACGGCCGTCACCATCGAGCCGCAACACGGTGACCACGACAGCGAGGCGTTCCGGGGCTTCACGGCCGTCATGGGGCCCTTCATCAGCTCATCGGTGGCGGGCGGGACGGGCGGCAGTGAGGTGCTGAGTGTGCGTGTGGCGGATGGCGGTGTGGTGGCCACGACCGACGCGACGCTGGCCGACTACAGCATACTGCACGACCGATTCATCAAGTAGGGCTACAGGCGGACATGAGATGGCGTGGTGGTCATCTTCGCACTCTGTGTGTGTGTGTGTGTGTGTGTGTGTGTGCAGGTATGGGCCCGTCGCGGATGTGTCGGCAGACACCTTCCACAAGTGACACACCACAGCAGCAGCCAGGCGACACACGAAATCTCTGTGTGTGTGTGGTGTGCAGGGTGGTCGACGATTACATTCGTCGCATTCGGTTGCCCCCCGACGCCGCCACGCCGCTGCCGACGAGCAGCTGGCCTGACGAGCTCTTGTACGCCTGTGACATGTACGGCCTCATGGATCGGGTGTACCTCTCGATGATCGACAAATCGCACAGCCACATCAAATGCCTCTTCAAGTGAGTCACAACACACAACAGAGGGGTGTGGGAGGGAGATGCCATTTGTTGATTTGGATGCCTTTGTGTGTCAGGAGTTCGTCTGACGGAGAGTTTGGCACTCTGGTAGAGCGAGTGGCGGGTGTGAGCGGCCTGCTCTTCGTCATCGAGGACGAGAAGCAGTACACCATCGCCTGCCACATCGACGGGCCCCTCATCCCCCCGGCTGACCCGACATCGACGCTGCTCACCGGCAGCCCTGTGACCTTCTACTCCATCAATGGGCCATTCGAGGAGGGCGGCATCGCCAAGATCACCGTGCCGCATGACGACCAGTACGTGATGGTCGCCGGCACAGAGGGGGCGGTGAAGGACGGCAATGGAGTGCCGGCTGGCAAGGTGTGCATCGGGGGCGTGCGGCTCTGCCTGGGGTATGGGCAGGGGAGGCCGGCTGACGACCTCCGCAGCTGCCTCCAGTGGGTGCGTAGAGGCGAGCTCCCCGGAGACAAGACGTACGTGGGCAGCATCAATTCAGGAGTGGCCACTTTGGCCAAGAAACACTCCTTCACAGCCCAGCGGCTTGAGGTCTACGAGGTCAGACAGAAACATCAAGTGGACGGACGTCATCATGTCCATGTGGCTTATGTGTCCATGTGCGTATATGTGTGTGTGTCTCTTTAGGTGTGGAGCACTCTCCCGGCTGATCCCATCCTTCCCGCCGATGACCTGCAGGCCCTTATCGACACGACACGCGACATAGGGATGACAGCACAGCTGCTCTACAAGTGAGTCAGCCAAAGATGCTATCATCGTATCTCTCTGCTGTCTGTCCGGCTGTGTCAGGGGCGAGCGTGACGGCTGGACGCACGAGACCATGCTGGCCAAGGTGGGCGAGGCGGCCGACCTGCTGCTGGTGGCCAAAGACACCGGCAGCCACACATTCGCCACCCACATCGAGGGACAGCTCAAGCAGCCAGCCGACCCCACTGGAGTGGCGCACAGACGCTGCCCCGTGACCTTCTACTCCATCAGCGGCGCATTCGAGCAGCAGGGCATCGCCAAGCTCACCGTGCCACAAAACAAGCAGCATGTGATAGTCGCCGGCGCCGAGGGGGCGGTGGTGGGCAGCAAGGGCGGTGCTGGCAAGGTGGTCATCGGTGGGGGCCGCCTGTGGCTGGGGTATGGGAGGGATGCGCGCCCGGCTGGCGACCTCCGCAGCTGCCATCAGTGGGTGAGGGGAGTGAGCTGCCCGACGACAAGACGTACGTGGGCAGCATCAACGAGGACAGATGGGCCACCTTAGCTGCCTGTGCGCACTTCACATGTGTCGATTTGGAGGTCTACACACTGCAGGTCAGAGGGGCCAGGGAGAGGAGGGAGGCACATGAGTGTTTTGATTCCGTTGCCCTCCTGGTTCTGTCTGTGTGTGCAGGTGCCGGATGGCTGGGAGTGGCTGAGTGCGGTGGCCGACATAGTGCTCTCACAATCGACATGAGATCTGTCTGTCGAGGGGCTGAGCGGAGCGGGGCGAGTAGCCAGTGGATGAGGATAATCGGCAGGCGTGGGAGCACGTGCCCACGCTTATGCTCGGATGTGTCTATACCGTCTTATGTGTTTGTATACAGCTGCTGCGTGCGTGTGCCTGGAGATGTGTATACCCGTCTCTTTGTGCTCATATGTATGTGGCCGTGGTGTCACGCGTGCGCTGCATGCCTGGCTGCCAGTCTGTCTGCCTGCCTGCCTACGTAGTCATGTTCCGACACCTGCATCCGTTGAAGACTGCCACGATCGATGTGCCAGGGAGGTCACACACATCCATCCATGCCGAAGCCACATGGATGGCCTCAGGTGCCCACACTGTGCTGGTTGGATGTGTGACCTCCCTATGTGTCTGTGTAGCTAGTGTGTCCCTGGGTCTCGGGTCATGACACTTTGCACCCCAGAGCGGTGTGGCGGCCTTAAAACTTGATTTGATGCTGTGTCCATTGGCTCATTCATTCAAACAGAGCGGTCACAATCCATATCCCATCCCACACACACCACACATGCACACCACCTCCCACCAGCCGGCCTTCTCCGCCCAACGACCACACACACGACCACGACCGCCCACCACTTGCCAGTATTCACTCCACATGCCCTCGTGATTCACCGTCCGATTCACCGCTGCCACCGCCACCTCGTGTGCAGCAGCAAGGCGCACAAGGTGTCGGTGAAGATGATGACCAGATGATGACCTCAAATGGACGAAACCGAAACCGAAACCGAAACCGAATCAGCAGTGAGGATCCAACCCGTCACACACCATACAGCAGTGTCGTCACATCAGCAGTCGGTCGCTCGGCACGGATGGATCATCACCAGAAGGACGGCGGGCGAATGAGGCCGGCAGTGGTTGGTGGCAGGCTCAGGCTTATCGGGATCTCTGTCGCATCTTCCTCCTCTTGCGCTGGAGGCGGCGAGTGCGCTTCTTCTTCCACTGAACACACACACACACACACACAGCATGACCACACTATCGTCTGGCGCTTCCTCCCCCTGGCTGCCAACCCCCCGGCATCACTTCTTCCCCTCACAGCTGCCCCTTTGGCCTTGCTGAGCGCCCATGACTGCCCTCCATCCCCCCTCTCGCGTGTCTTTGCTTCCCCCGTGTCAGATCTGTGTCGGGTGTGTGTCTTCTCACCTTCCAGCGCATACGCGCCGTGGACTTCTTATACCGACTGGCTCCGTGTGCCATCTTGTCAACACCGAAGCGGGAACGGCTTCGTTCGTCAGTTTCGAGCTCGCAGGATCGTCTTACCCTGAAACCCGAACTCTACTAGTGAAAAATATGAATTTTGATGTGAGGATGATGGAGAGTCAGCGTGCTCACGAAGATGCTGCAGGAGAATCGGATTTTGATTTTGACAGTCAGGTGTGCTTTATCAGCGGCATCCCGCTCTTCTTCACCATCTCCCACCTCCGCAGCTTCTTCCGCCACTTCACAGAGGTCTCCCGCTTCGCTTTGTTCCACTTCTGTGGCCGTCGGGTTCGGCTCAATCGCAGCGGAGTCACCGAAGTGCCGTCGTGCGGCTGTTGCTGTCTCGTCCGCCTGTCTGGTGATTGCTCTGTGGACGACTTCATCAGCCACTATCACGGCGTCCAGTGGAGCGAGGCGCTGCCCCACCTCACCGAGAGAATCGGCTGCTACACGTCGTGCCGCGTCACTCGGCTGAAGCGAGTGTCTGGACCAGGTGATACGTCTGCGGCGCGGCCGTGCTACCTGACTAACAGAGAGCGGCGAGAGAGAGCCGAGGCGTCAGGCGGAGCGGCCGAGTGCTGGGAGCCGGCTGATGAGGGGACTAGTCTGTGTGAGGAGGGTGTGAAGGGGCGGGAGGGAGCCGTGATGCGGCCGAGCAGCGATTGGGTGGAGATGCACCCGCCGTATGGGCTGCCGCAGGGCAATGTGGGCACGCCGGAAACAGACCTCCTGCAGCAAGTCAACCAGGGGTGCGCACATGGCACTCTCGCATTGATGGAACGATTGATTGATGCGTCACTGTTTTGCGGGCGTGTGTGTGTGTCAGGTTGCTGCCACCCCGCCTGCTGTCCCACTTCGGCCTCTCCCTCTCTCACCTGACGGCCTATCGCCACCCCAGGCACACAGAGATCCCCCCGCCACCGTCCCTCATCCCACGCCAGCAGCAGCAGCAGCGGCCAGCCCCCGCCAGCAGTAACGACTCAGCGGCCGCCACCGGTGGTCGGACCAGCAAGGGCAAGAGAGCCCTCTCGGATGGGGCTGAGCGGCCTGACCATGGCTCGCTTTTTCGGCCACTCAAGCGGGCCAAGAATGAGCTGCGTCTGCGTGACAGCGAGGCCCAGAGACGTCGCGAGAAGGGAGCTGAGGGTGCAGAGGGCGTCGTGCGGCGGGGTGCGAAGGACAAAGGGGCCGTCAGAGGGACCTTTGTGGAGCGGTGGCGGGAGCAGCAGAGGCGAGCCGAGGCAACACGGCGGAGGAAGGCACGGCAGCAGGCAAAAGGTGAGATGAAGATCAGACCACCGGCTGGATCGGCATGTTATTGGATCTGCATACGTGCCTATGTGTGTTGTTTGGTGTGTGTGTTGTGTTGGGATCAGAATCGCCCGTCATCTATGAGATCGAGAAGGATTTGGCCCGCAAGGAGGGATACGACCCGGACGACGAGCCGGAAGGTATGCACAGACACAGAGGCAGACGGCACACAGACAGACAGACTGCCGGTGATCATCTGTGTGTGTCTGTTGTGCTGTTGCGTGTCGACCAGCATGGGAGGTGACCGAGGCGGCGCTGGGCGAGCACCCCGACGTCCACTACGAGAAGAACGACCGGCTCGACAGCACCGCCGGCTATCTCTATGAGGACCAAGTCACCAACCCATGGGACAAGCACGAGGCCAGCGGTCTCGTCCACTACACCGACGACTCGTTCTGGGACGCACAGTAAGTAACCGAACCAACATGGCATGGCGACATGCAGGCAATGCAATGGATGTGTGTGTCCATTCATCCATCCATGCATCCATCCATTCGCTCAGGGCGGGTGGCTTCGACGAGCGCACTGCCGACGACCTTGACGTCACGTGGGAAGAGGCCGAGGATCAGCCGCAGTGGCACTCGAGACAAAGGAGGAGGCGGTCGCGGCGCGGCAACAAGGGTGACGGTGAGGACATGACCTTCACCGACCCACACGTGCAGCAATTATACGGAGGTACCTCTGCGCAGACACACGTCATGAGTCCATGCACACCATCTCTTTCTCTGCATTGATGCGTGCATGCAGGTCCCCAGAGCGTGTTCCGTCTGCTCGACCAGTGCGGCTTCGAGCGCTCTGTCCGTCAAGGCGTCGCCGGCCGGCTGCTCCACAAATGGGGCTGGCGTGACGGCTATGGCCTCGGCCGTGATGCGCCGCCCCTGCCAGCGTCTGACGACGCTCCCCCCTCACCCACCCGGCAGCACAACGTCCGGCGCTTCGCTTTGGCGCCTGGTGGTGCGGCCGCTGGCCGATCATCGCGCGTCTATGAGGAGGTCGTTGAGGGGCTGCCGGTCAGTTCGGGCCAGCGTGGCCTGGGGCACATCGGTGCGATGGAGACCCTGAGTGAGCGCACAGAGGGGGCCACGGCTGCCACTGTGTATGGGGGAGCCGGCGGCAATCTGAAGGAGAAAGGGAGAGACACAAGACGGCGGCGTGAGCGGCAGCCCCACCACCAGCAGCGCCATCACGATCCGGGCTACATGGCGTCGTTTGCCTTGCCGAGGGACGGCAGCAGCGGCTGTGGGGGCATGTACAGAGTGCCGTCGATCGCATTTGTGTCGAGCCGGCGGCCGTACTCGTCGCGGCCGCCTGATCTGCCTGTGGAAAGGACTGTGGGTGATGACGGTGCTTGGGGTCTTGGTGGTGGTATTGGGGTAGAGAGGCTGCGAGCACTGGTGGACCCAGAGTGGGAGGGATGATGGCTGACTGGCAGTCGCCTTTCTCTCTCTGTTGCTTGGGTGTATGTCCGTTCTGGCAGACTGCCACACACGCATAGAATGGTATCGACTGTCCTGCTGGGGGTCCTCTCATCAACTCGTGCATCGTGTCCTCCTGCTCACCCCCTGGTCGATGGGGTGTGAGCAGGTCGGCACGCTGGACGACTCACATGAGAGCCAACAGCCGGACAGACAGATGAGATTTGGGTGGCAGGTATGGCTTCCCCTGCTTTGTGTGTGTCGTATCGAGCTTGTTGTCGATATCCTCGGTGGATGGATGGGACGACGAGTGTCTCATGTAAGATGAGCTGACACCTTCACCCCCCACGGACAGCTCGAGTTCACGGGCGTGTTATATCGTATTAGTCCATGCAGCAATAGATTGAAAGTGACTGACACAATATAAAATGTAGGCACCGATGTCATGATGTCACCTCCCCGGTGCCACGCCTGTGCTTCCTCACGAAGTCCTGCAGCATCTCCACGGCCTCTCGGCCCTGCACACACAATCGATTCGACCGACAACAGAGACACACACACAGACACACAGGCAGATGCATGTGTGGTGTGGTGTTGCTGCTTTGTGTGCGTTATCTGGCATCAACACATACACACATCCACACTGACTGAGCCACTCAGTCGTCCTTGTCCTCCTCGAAGAGCTTGCGCTTCCGTCGGGCACGCCTCCGCCGCCTGCGAGCCGCCTTGTCGGCCGCCAGCTGGGTCTTGAGGGGGTCCTTCTGAAGCAGCGGCCGGGTGCCGCCGCGCCTGCAGTTCCTGACGAAGTCTCGGAGCATCCCAACGGCCTCGCGACCCTGCACACACAGTTGATTCAAACGACAACATACACACACACAGACACACAGAGACAGGTACACGGATGTGTGGTGTCTTCGGTGCATTCATTGTATGTGCCGCCCTTTGTTGGGGTGTGTGTGTGTGTGTGTTGTCTGCCTGCCTGCACTGCCCGAACTCACATGATTCGCTACATCCATCCATCCATCCATACAGACAGACAGACAGACAGACATCTGTACACCCACCCTTTGGCGGTCGAGGGCGGCTTCGGCGTCATCGTCAGAGGACGAGTGGTGGGAGTCGCTTGAGTGGCAGTCCTCCTGACTCGAACCAGAGGGTGGTGGGGCTGCCGCAAGTTGAGCGGCCTTTCGCTTGCCCAGCTGCGCGCCCGGCGGGCGGCCGCCGGGCTGCTCCTGGTCCCTCCCAGCCCCCTCGTCCGTCTTGCCGCTACAGTTCTTCTTGTCCTTCTCCTTCTCCTTTTTGGCCAGCAGGTCCGCCCAAAACTCCATGGCGTCTTGGTCGTCAAACTCGCCATTGTCGTTGACCGCCGCCATGGAGGGGATGGCTTCGGTGAATGCAATGGGTGGACAGCAGCAGATCGATCAGATCTATGCGCCCTCGGTCAGCTGAGCGTGGTGGTGGTTGATGGGATCACGGCTGCGGCCAGCTGTGCTGATGCGGTCTGATCTTGGTGGTCAAGATCTATCCCCGTAGGGAGGTGCGGGCCGGGGAGGGCGGGGAGCGGCTGGCAAGAATGGGGCGGGGATGTTCGGGGCCACCGACCAACCAATGAATACGTACCTGCAGCAGGCCACACAGCACAGCACACAGCACACCTCACACCTGAGATGGATGGATGGATGGATGAATGCCATGCATATACCGGACAGCTAGAGATCCATACGTAGATGCATCCGTCTCCCGGCCTCTCATACATACCTTTGAGATTTGACCCATTGGCGTTCGACCCATTGGCATTGAGATCCGTGGCCGTGTCAGACAGGTGGGCTCGTGACACCAAGACGATGACGTTGAGTGCAGATGCGCCGAACAGGGCGGCTGCTTGCCACGGCGACATTTCGGGCTCGATGAGGGCATAGATGAGGAGACCGACAGCGATAATGTACTGAAACACACAACGACAAACCAACCACATTGACCGGCTAGACACACCGTGGTCACGACTGAGTCTGCCTCCTTACCTGTGCAGAGTCGGGCTCTCCGAGTTTGTCGAGGAGAAGCCTCTTTCCGCCTGATAAACTACAACAATGTGTTAACAGACGGGTGCCGGCAGAAGGAGGGGTGACTGCGACTCGTAAGTAACTCGACCCACCGGTGCTGCAATGTTCAGTTCAATGTAGCTCTTACACGCGGCGTCATACACGCCACCTCTCGAGTTCGATTTGCATGACGCCCTCGGGGCGCCATCCTGCTTGACCACTGCACGCACACACGCACACACACACACACACACACGTGTGATGGTGTGTGTGTGTCTGTGTGTGTGTGCGGCGCCGACCTCTCTGCTGGGTCTTCCTGGTGAGTTTGAGGTTGGTGAAGAAGGCCACACCGGTGTGGTCATTGCTCCCGCTGAGGAGCACCTCACTCGAAGATGTGTAGGGGTTGTCTGTCTTGCTCGCTTGTCACACCACCGCCTCCGCCGACAGCAGGGCCCGAGACACGACAAGGCCTTTCGGGCTCCACGGGGTCCATCTGCAAAGAAAAACACATACTACGCGTGTGCACAGATGCATCCATTGCAGTGTTCGCAGATGCATCCACTCACGTGCGTTCACACCATTAGCAGCTCAATGGTCCTGAATGAAGTCTCGCCACCTGCGTCTTCGGGTTCTCTATGCCTGAGACACACATACAATGTGCACGTGTGTCTGCGTGTGTTGTGTACGCTGATTCTCAGATTTGTGGTCGCCCCTGAGGTTGGCCAGAAGATCGTGTTAGTGCTTCTTGATGCTGTCCATCATGGCCTTCTGCTCAGATGCCATTCTGCGCGCACACATAATACACACACACGTGTGTGGTGACGGTAGCTTAAGGGTGGCGCTTTTCCTCTTCGTGTGCCGTGACGTTGGCCCGCCACGGCGGGTTCATGAACATCTCTTCTGAACAGCGACTGGCTCTTCTGCTGGTGAAAAAACCTGCATGCAATCACGTGCGGACCACATCATGATTGACTGAATTGTCCAGCCAGAAAAACGCTGCTGAGAGCCGAAACCTTCGCCGAAATCCTCGAACTTGACTTTGATCACAAATGGAATGCCAATCGGCTGTACCTATCAATCAGCAAACAGCACAGAGGCAGGTTGTGGTGTGATGTGGTGTGCACTGGCCGTTGCTTTGGACGTACCGTGTGCATGCGTCGAGGCGTGTGTTGAATATGACGGTGCTGAACGAAAACCCTCCCGCTTCACCACCTCGTAGACCTCCATCGCGAGATCAACCTGCACAGTGATACAACGGCGCATTGCACCACACAGAGCGGCGTCCGTGGAGTGCATGCATTCCATGTGTCTCTCTGTCCCACCTGAGCGCCTTTCGCCAGGGCTATCACCAGCGTGGCGTAGACCTCGCCCTTCTCCTGCTTGCACTTTGGCCGACTCGCCTGCTCACTGGCGGCGAGCGGCTGCTCCAGGAACGAGTGCTTTATAAGGTCCTGGAAGATCCTGTAGGCCGCTGTGAGGTCATTGTGTTGAATGGCTTCGACAAGGCGGCCGTATGCGGGGGAAGGTGGCTGGTATCGCCCTTGATGAATGTCGACAGAGAGTCGAGGTCGACTTTGGCCTGCACGACCAACGTAACGGCCTGCAGGCATTTTACCGACCGCAAGCCAAATGTGTATGCGGCAATATCGTGATGACTCTTTGTGAGTTTTGCGTACGTGGCGTCAGACACGACCCCTGGCACCCATTGCCTACTCGATCGCAGAGAATAATCGCAGAGAATATCGCAGAGAATATCGCAGAGAGTATCGCAGCCAGCACAGCAGCGCCAAACAGAAGTCCGGGGCACACAGTCGCTTCTGAAACAAGAAGAAGACAACTCAACAGCAGCCCGAGAAGGAGGGAGGGTGACTTACTGCAGCTTCATCGTAACGGATCATCATCTGTCTCTCCACCATGATCACCTGAGCCCCTAGGTGGAGCCGGTCGACCACCCTAGCTGTACAGCACACAAACTCAGATACCGTCATTCCTCAATACCAAGATCCGAGAGGAACATCTGGTATTCCTTTTTCTGATCCTGGAGACGATGCCTGTAGAAGACACGATGTTGACTCCTTTCCCTTGCCTCTTCCCTTATGTGTCCTGGGCCTACGGTGACAGAGGAAGCCGGCGATATAGTGTACGATGACGTCGGACAGTCGAATGAATGTCCCTCTCGCACCATGTAGCCGAACACCAGCGCCCCGATGAGCATCACAACGCATAAGAGAACAGTCGACGTATTCTACATGGAGAACACCACAGGCGAGAGCCAAAGATGGGCTGCAAAGATGGACTGTGGCTCATCAACTTTCTTCCCATCAACCTACCTTGGCGCCGTTTGTCCATCGATGGGGCACCCAAGACATGAGGCTTGGCTTGGCCTCTTCGAACTTGACTTTGATCACAGATGGAATGCCCAGGCGGCCAGCATTTCCCATGGCGTGTCGCCCACACATACGACACACTCCTTGGTCATATGGCCTGGGCGGCGGTCAAACTCCTCTACAAGGGTCAGGGTCTGAAGGGTGAGAGGCCAAGATACTGCTGGCGGAATGTTTTCTATCCCCCTCGTGTGTGTGTACCTTGCAGACCTCTCCCGGAACCGCTTGACTATCAACCTCGCGACGCTCCGCTCTCTCCCTCGCCGTGCAGATGGGCTTGGGTAGACACCGTGTGAACGAGATGCCCGGCGTGCGAAAGCTGTCGGTGTTGAAGGAGGACAGCTCAGAAGTGGCACAGAGGCTGCTGACAGCTCACAGGGCGCCGAAAGCACTGCTGATGGGACAAAAACCGCCAAAAAGCCAAAACATCATTAAAGAATATTGGCCGTCTCGGCTGGCAAGCGAATTCTCGCCAATGAAGCTCGCCTTTTTGCCTATGCCTTTGAACCTCTTATGCCATGATTTCATGGTTTGATGTTCCGCATCGGATTGCATTGAGGCGGCTGCGTGCACATCCGATGAGGAGTAGAAAGGTGAGGGCCATGTAACTCTGCCGCGCCGGACACCCAGAGTGCGAAGACCATCGTCTTTCTTACCTCCCTGTCCAGTGTTGCTTTTTGTGGCCTCCATTCGGCTCCTCGGGCGACCAGTGTCAGCCGCGGAGCCAAAGCAGCTTGTAGAAGCTTACAGAGCAAACAGCGAGAGGAGATCTCGGCGTGTGCTCGCAAGAGAAGACCTGCAGGCAAGACAACAGCCTCAGCAATCGTCCCGTTGCTTCGCTGCTGCGGGCTCAACTTTTCCCTTCGCACGTCGGTCGTATTTCAGTGCTTTGAGGGAAAGAGGGCAACCGATGAACGGTCTCGGGAGCCCCCGAGCAGAGGTGGGTGGCAATTGGTGGGTGGCAATTGATCTTCTCCCAACCAATCACTCTTTCGCCAGATCATCTAAGTGTTTGCTTGTCGTTTGCTCGTTCAGGGGAGGAAGCGAGGGCGGTCGAGGAAGGGCATCACGACGGCAAACCGCAGGTACGGTGCACGGATTCATGTGGCACCACTTTGATTGGCGTATCACTGTTGGTTCAAATGAACGGGATGGGGACGGCCTTCATATCCGGACAGCTATCGACTGATGCTGGGCTGACTGATGACACATTTGCAGCTGCTCTCCAGGTACACAAGAAATCTTCCCTGTCGGCCTCACATCGGGTGTGTGTGTGTGTGTGTGTGCAGCCAATGGGGTGGCCGCATTTTTCACCCAAGCACGCGGCTGCCTTCGGCATGGTTGGCACTGACGCGGCGCCTTTCGGTCATTCATTGTGCGCCGAAGGATCTACAGCCTCACGTCATCGCACAGGTCCACTCCCACCCTCTCTGACCCGTCAATCGGACTCACAGGTGAAATGACTGCACCCAAGCAAGAAACACGCCCATATGTCCGTCTTTTCTGTCTGTGTATTCACCTCCAGATGCGCACAAAGAATGCAGTCGAGGTGACGATCGGCGAGCGGCTCCAGCTGGTGGACGAGTTTGAGAGCCGCAAGCGAGACGGAGAAGCCATTTCGATGCTTCAGTTCGCCAAGGAGAAGGGCATCACCCCGCCGACCAGATTCAAGCAGTGGTGCATTGACATCAAGAAGCAGACGGCGGCCGGCAAGCAAATCGTCGATCCGACCAAAAAGCGCAACAGACAGCCCAAGTACCAGCCGATCGAGGACGCGATGTGGCAGTGGATGGCCAGCCGTGGTGACCCAATGAAAGTCCCCCCGAAGGACATCAGGGCCAAGGCGATTGAGATCGCCAGTCGGTTGGGCATCACTGGCTTCTCGGCGAGCGATTCGTGGACTAAGGCCTTCAGGAAGCGGTGCCAACAGGTCAGGAAAAGACAACAAGTGAAGTAAGAGATTCACTCTTTATCGATCCATGCCTGTTTCTCAGATTCGTTTGCCGTCCTCTGAGGCGCCTGTGTCGGCTGCAGCTGCACGTCCCCCTTCCCCAATGCAGCCGCCCCACCCCCATCCCCCACCCAGGCCCCTCATCCACCAGTCGGAAGCAGCTCCAGCTGCCGCTGCTGCTGATGCTGCCGCTGATGCTTACATTCGTGTGGCGGATGGGTTCCTCGGACCGATCACCAACCTCAGCCGACAGGTAACACACTCGGCGTGCCGACACCACGGCCGACACACCAGAATTGAGAAGGCTACGAATCTTTGGTCGGCTGCAGAGCACTTGGCCGGCAGAGGATAGCGCACCTGGTGACGGCGATCGGCCGCTTGACACACAGTCGCAGCCATCAGAGCCACCGAACACCATCTGAGCGACCGAGGTGGTGGATGCGGAAGACGGTGGGTCGCCGCAAGGTCAGGAAGACAGACGGTTTCGTGATTCTGTTTTTTGCGTTTGTGCGCGCCCATGTATCAACTGGCTCTCTCTCCATATGCCCTCGTGTTCTACATTTCACTTCATCGGTGTTTTGTTTCATCTCTCTCCGTGCACTGCTCTATCTGTGTATGTGTGTGTGTGATCCATGCCCGTGTTCCTGCCTCGGTACCTGACGTCAGTAGATGCTCTCCTTCTCTTGCCTCCTGCCTGGATATATCCGCCGTGTTTAGGACGATAGATGCTAAGCACTACACACACAGGCGCTCTCGGGCTCCGCCTGTCTATGTCTCTTGGGTGTCGTCGGGTTGCGAGTGACCACGCCAACTTGCTCCCTGCCTGCCTGCCTGCCTCGTGTCTGTCTGTCTGTCTGTCTCTGTGTACACACCAGAGATGCAATCGTACATACGTCACTGGGCGATACCTCGTACGCTCCTTTGCGTGATTGGCTGCCTTCGTCTGTCTCGTCTTCCTGTGTGTGTGTGTGTGTGTGTCTCATAGTGCCTGGCAATGCAGAAGTGGGCTTCTTTCTCGGGCTTTCTCCGCCCCTTCACCTGCCTGCGTAGCTGCACGCGAACAGATCTTTGCCCTTGTCTGGCCCGCACGTGTCTCGTCTCATGCGCGTGCTTATACCGACTCCACAGTTTTGCCGTCAGAAACAGGGCTTTTGAGCTCTGGTGTTTTGCCTTTAGAAAAATCACGGTGACTTAGTACACATCGGTGCGACATGATGATGCACTTGTGCTCGGCGAACTCGCCAATGCCATGACCTCCACTTGTGCTCCGCGAGTGCCATGACCTTTATCGTGCTCCTGACATGGGTAGGCTCCATTCTGTTGCCTCCTTCCTGCCGGAGCTGTCGCATGTTGCCTGTGTGGGTTACGAGCAAACATAAATGATCGTAGAAATGTACAACTTATGAGCGTATGTCTTATGAATTGCTCATGGATGGTCGGTCAGTCCCTGGTGCGTCCATCCCATGAGACAAACGCGTGACAAGGTGGGAGACTGCTCTCATTTGAGAGAGACAAAAGTGTGGTGTGGCTCACTCTCTCAAATGAGAGCAGTCTTTTGCCATTCTCTCTAGCCTCTCCTGCTGGTGTGTTTGCTGGCTGCCTGATATGCGGTGTGCGTATCGATGATGGACATTTGAAACACATGGAGAGATACGCAAAGTAACGAATGACCCCATAAAGCTGCATCCGCCGAAAGGCGCATTGAATGGAATTCAAAGTCTCATCAGTGACATTATGTCCTCCTCACTGCATGCACTGTCCACCTGCGTGTGTGTCCCGCCTTTGTGCACTGCCTGGGACGGTGCACAGGGACGGGTCATACACGCACACAAACACACACACACAACACGGCACCTCACTCACCACGCATCCACCCATACACACCACACCACACCACACGTCACACACGCACACGCATGCCCAAGCCGTGGACTCTCAGACGAGACCTAGGCAGTCTTGTGGCGTCGCGGGCAGCTGAACGGATTAGCCGTCTGTCTGTCTGTCTCTTGCTTGATACCTTCACCACACAAAGACACGCCAATCTACATCGAAAGAGAGAGAGAAAGTGCGGCCTCTGGCGGAGGGAAAGAGGCTGTTGAAGACTCCTGACGACGGCGAGACACGATCCAGATGCAGACTGCCTGAGAAACGGAAACTCGAATGGCGTATGGCTGTGTGTGTGCAGGTAGAGTGTGTCGTTCGGCGTGTATGGAATGATCGATAGTTCGTAAACGACACGCGTGAGTCGGTCGTCAGGTCTTTGAGTGCACGAGTGAGTCCTTTCCCCCTCTTCACCCGCACTGTCCACTCAATCATGTGTGTGTGGTCAGTCCGCTGGCCCCACCTACACAGGAAACGATCCTATTGCCATGGAGTGGCTCTTGCCGGTTCTCATGCCGGATGCAGTGGCTCTTTAATGTTTGTTCTGACAGGCGACCATCCCCGACCACAAGATTGGAGGCACGGGCAGGCAGTCATACTCATAAACGGACCCGTCTGTGAACTTGTTGCAGCCTTTCCCCGGCTTACTGCACAGTTGTTGAACGACAAAGGGTGACACAAGCAAACAAGTATATAAGATTGAGCTGCTCAGTCAGTCTTACCAGTTGTCGCCGTAGTTGCCAGCCACCTGCACACAACAAACAAAGTCGAGCGATCAAAAGATACGAAGGAAGGCTTTGTACTTTTGAGGATGGTACCGACCTTGCACCTCTTGGGATTGGACTCCGGCTTCACGTCGTTGGGGAAGCCATACACTTTCTCGTAGCATTTGGTGGCTCGGCCCAGGTGGTCCTTTTTGTCCTTGCAGTCCTCATCCTTGTCGCACGGGTTGCACGGGTCCCTGTCTGTGCACCACGGCTTCTTCTACACACACACACACACACCCACACACACACACGCAAGGCAGCTCCTGAATCGCTGTAAATCGGCGGCCTGTCAGCCCACCGGTGCGGTCGTGTTGCTCAGCAGTGGTGTCCCCCTGGAATTTCCGGCAGGGAGAGACAGCTCCTTCTCGGTGGCCTGAATGGTATGTGCCTTTGGCTCTGCACCGCACAAAGCGTGCACACACGTGCACACACATTGATTGCATGTCGGCACACTCGTGCGCACGTGCATAAATCCATCATGCCTAGTACTACCCTGCACGAGAGAGACTGCTGCCGTAGCTGTGACCGTCAGGATGATGGCCAAGGGAAGCAGTGGAGAGGGGCTGCGCTGCGCCATCGCGAAGACGACAACGGGGTGACGAACTTGAAGAAGACGAACTTGAAGACGGTTGGGGGGCGTCTCCTCGGCGACGCGCGTCCTGTGCGACTCGACAAAGCTGGCAGTGGAGACTCAGTGACAGTCGGTCTTCGACTCAACAGCTCACGTACTCTCAGAGGGATCGGAACTCAGACAAAAGGAGGACGCGACACAAAACGCGAGCTCGGCTCCGCGATACCGATCGCATCACTCATGAATCGCTATGAGTTGGTGAGCTCACATTGCCCATAACTGTACCTGCCGCATGGAGGGAGAGACATACATCAGAAGGAGGAGAGGCTGTGAAAGGTCCGCTGCGAATCGCTCACTCGTTGTCAAACATTAACATTTTCAGTGACGAACGCGTTGACAAGTGCATCACATCAGCGAGAGTCAGAGTGGCTGGCTGGCAGGGAGCAGACACACATAATCACACAATGGGAAGCAGGCAGATATATACATTCATGTGTAATTCAGAGTTGCATCGTTTTTTTTTTTCAGCGGATGCCAGAAACAGCACACAAGAAACGATGCCTCTGAGTCATTGGAGCGATAAAGGTCTCCCTCCCTCCCTCGCCGTCTGTCTGTCTGTCTGTCTGTCGCTTGCTTGATACCTTCACCACACAAAACGCAGAAAGACACGCCAATCTACACATGAGTCATACTCAAGGCATCAAAGGAGAGAGAGTGCGGCCTCTGGCGCGGGGAAATACACGAGGGCGAGACACAATCGAAATGCAGGCGCCCCGCGACACGAGTCGGCCGATGTGAAAATCGGAAACTCCCACGCCGTACATACACATGAGGATCGAATGGCCTGTGGCTGTGCGTATGTGCGGACAGGGTGTGTCGTTCAGTCGGTGATTGGTAATTTACGACAGACACACGTGTGGATGGATGGTGTGTGGGCCTCCGCTGGCCCTAGTAACGACCACGGCAGATCAGCATTCCGTTCAATGCTGTCACTGACCCTGCTTCCAACAATGAAGACAACGATTCAATTCAGCACATCACGTGTGTGTTATCGACAGTCATCAGATGACACGAGCGCATGCAGTCTCTTTGAGACGCACTCATACACGCAAATACCCACAGAGACCATGTGTAACCAGCCGCATGGATGGATCGCACCAATCCACCCATCCATTCACCCCTCGTTGAGCAGCTCCTTGAGTCTCTCTTGGTGCGCGGCTGGCGTCGGCTCCTGGTGCTCCCTGCACACACACAGACTCGCGTGTTTGACGGGACAAATACTGAGTGCATTAGTCACCTGATCCATTGGGAGATGAGCAGCACCAGGGGGTTGGTCCACGAGTGACGCAGCCACGACGAGTCGCCGCCGGCACGCGACTTGACCGCTGCACTCTGCACCACACCCACACAAAGGCAGCCACCACACACGTGTGTACGCTATAAGCCCCTGCTCACACACTAAGTGACCTACCTGTGTGTTTGCCGTGGAGTCCCCCTGCTGCTGCTGGCGGTCTTTGTTGAGCGCCTCGATGAACTTGTCGACATGGCCGAATCTGACCATCTTGCCGGACGCCATGTGTGCGACGTGTGTGGCCCACGCCTGCATGCCGTCAAATATGTGGGTAGCGTAGACGATCGTCACGCGGCGCTGCACCGACTCCTCATACAAAAACTGCAGCAGCTGCACCGCGCCAACCAGAGAGAGACAGAGAGAGAACAAGTGTGTGTGTCTGGGTGTGGCTGTGTGGCTGTGTCGCTAAGGTTACGTCTTGCCGCGCCACGACGTCCAAGTCGGTGGTGATCTCGTCCAGCAGCAGCACCTGCACACACACACACACACACACACATAAACACACGTGTGTGTCGGTCTGGCTGGCTGGCTGTGTGAGGATGATGTAGGTACGTCGAAAGGTTTGACGAGGCCCAGCAGCAGCTGCACGCGACGCCGCTGACCCTCAGACACCTGCACAGCACACAAGACACACATAGACACACACACACACACACACATAATACACATGCCATTCGGTGCTTGCCTGGTGCATCCTCCACTCGAGGTCAACCTGCACACGAAGATACACACATTAGTGGCCTACACGTGTGTCTGAGATTGTGTGTGTGTGGTCAATGGCTCACCCCCAGCACGTGTATGAGGTGCTTCAGCCTCTCCGTGTCCGGCACAGCAGCTCCCTTGAGCATCGACCACACAGGAAAGTCTCCCTGACACACACACAGACAAGCCCACAGACACACACGTGTCAATCAACGCCCACAGACACACACGTGTCAATCAACGCGGCCAGACACACCAGACACATCAGAGAGGCCATGGGAACCGACCTACTCAACTCACCTGGTAGGCCACGCCGTAGCCGCAGAAGGCCACATCACGCACCCAATTGCCGCCTGCAGACATCAACACATCCATCCATCCATCCATCCATCCATTGCAGTGTGTGTGCCAATCCACCGGTCGGCCGACCTACCTAGGTATGACACGCGCGCCTCGACCTCTCTGTCGTGGAAGGGCGACCCGCCCAGTATCTCTATAGACGACCTACAGACACAGACAGAGAAACAGACAGACAGACACATGAGGGAACGAACAAGGACAAGACAACACCCATGTGTGGCCACGGCGTTCAGTCAGTCACCTGGGCACCATGTTCTTGCCGCCCAGCAGCCGCAGGAGGGTGCTCTTGCCTGCAGCCGTCAACGCAATTCACACACACATCCACACACACACACACACACGAGCCCAAAGTGTGTGAAGATCCACGCACTGGCAGACCGCGCTCACCTGCTCCATTCTCTCCCACTAACAGACACCTGCACACACACAAGCACACGACCATCATTGTGTGCAGATCTGCCATCCATGAGCTGTGACAGTGATGCCCTTCCATCTCAGCACTCCAGCAGTCACTTGCCTGTCGCCCTTCCTCAGCTGCAAAGACACATCGCGCAGCACGTGCTTGCTGCTCGCGCCATAGGCGAAGTCCAGCCCCCGGACAGCCACAGACGGCGGCCGCTCTGTTTTGTCCGAACACATCGATGTCACCCGTGCCCTAAGATTTGGCAAGAAAAACAGCGCTGATCTGTGCGAGCTCGGAAATCTGCGAGCTTAGCGAAAAAGAAAGAAGCAAAAATGGATGAGAAGAAGGAGATGGACGAGAAACAGCAGACAGAGGCGAAGGAAGCCACGATAGCTGTTGCTGCTGCTGCTGCTGATCCTTCGGATGGTGGTGATGCGGAGAAGGCAGCGTCCGCACCCAAAGCAGCGAAAGCATCTGAGGCATCTTTCTCTCCCTCTCCCCCTCCTCATCCCCCGGGACACGCTCACACACAAGATGACAGCAAGCGTGACGCCAGCCAGAAGCAGCAGCATCCGCAGCCAGCACAGCCTCCTGCCGAGGCTCCTCCCCTTTTCGTCAAGCCTCGCGCATTCACCAAAGGCCGAGTCCGCAAGAGAGAGCGAGACGACCACGACCAAGACCAAGACCAGAAGCAACGACCGACGACATCAGCTGGCGATGGAGATCTGGATCAGGAGCCGCACCATCAGGAGAAGGGCAGCATCGGGGAGGTGCAGATGCTGCAGCGGATGCGCGAGCGGCGGAAGGGGCTGAGTGTGGAGGTCATGAACACTACCATGGCGAGGGAGAGGGAGGAGGAGAAAGCTGCCGAAGAGGTAGCTGGGCTGCACACACACTCGCAGCCAGACAGCCAGCCAGCCAGCCAGACAGACAGACAGGCACGATGAACAGAATCGAACACATCACACAGACGAGAGGCTCGATGGATGGACGCTTGATATATATGTGTGTGGTGTGTGTGGTGTGTATGCCATATGTAGGAGGAGGAGCAGTACGGCCTGTTGGATCGGCAGTTTGCCAGCGCCGGGATGGGCGGGGCGGGCAGGAGAGGCAACGAGGCCATGGACCAACACCTGTAAGCCAAGCCAACCCAAGCCATCCTCCCACCCGTCATGCTGTCGTCATTACATTGCCCTGTGTGCGTGGTGTGTGTTGTCTGTCAGCGAGGAGTTTTTGCGGGAGCGTTTGGATGTGACGGAGGACAAGGGCGATGAGGCGCCTCAGGAGAAGACGCGCGAGCAGGAGCTCTACGAGATACCCCCCGAGCTCAGGGTAAGTGGACCGTGTCTGTCGGTGCCACGCAGGCACAACACAGCTGTGCGTGTGGTTTGTGTGTTGTGTTGTGTTGTTTGACCGGACAGATCAAGGATGCGACCGAGGAGCATGCCGAGAAGATGAATTGGGTCACAGGCCTGGTCGAGGTGCCGCTGCCCATCGAGTAGGCAATGACACCGTCAAACCCACAATACACACAGCAACCACACCAGACAGACACACGAGTGCATCTGTCTGTGTGTGATTGTGTGATTGTGTGATTGTGTGTGTGTGTGTGTTAAAGGTACAAGCTCAAGAACATCGAGGCGACAGAGAAGGCCAAGCGCGAGAAGCTGCAGCTGGGCGGACAGAGCGTCGCTGCGTCGGGACGGCCCTGGGCTCCTGCTGCTGCTGCTGGTGGTGCTGCTGCCGCTGACGGTGTGTACCCATTACCCATCCATCCACCACTCACACAACCATTTTCCACCACTGTGTGTGTGTGTTGTGTGTTGTGGCATGTGCAGCAGGTGATGAGGGTCTGGAGGTGGTGCACAAGGCGTTCGGCTCCCGCTTCTTCAACCCCCACAGACCCAAGTCACAGGTGGGTGGGTGGGTGAGTCAGTCAGTCAGGGGCACAAGACATGTGGCTATCTATCGTGTGTGTCTCCGATGTGTGTGTCTGATATGTGTGTATGTCAGATGGCGACGGACGACCAGACGCTGGAGAGGTTTCGGAAGCGGTTCAGGGGCCGATAGATAGGCTGATACATAGATTTGACTCACTCGTGAGATTGATGAGACCAGGCCGGTGGTGCAGACGGAAGAAACACTAGAAATGAGACTGGATAAGCTCCACTATCGTGGCGATTCCGTGAGCCAGGCGGGACCAAGTGGGCGAGGTGGTCATCTCCACCCTCACCTGCATGGTCTGGACGGGCTCGTGAAGTCGCTACGATCGTGGAGTTCATCTCACTTGCAGCGAAACAACACGTGTGTGTGATGTCCTGTCTTCTTGACTTGAGTGTCTTATTGAGTACATCTACAACAGACAGACAGAAATGAGCAACAAACGGCCATGAACATGACAATCCCCAACACACAAGCAAACAGCCGGGCAGGGTTTGTTGGGTGTGTAGGGTTTTTTTTGCCACGTCACAAGCTCGCAATCGCCGGGAAGGGAAGAGTGGATTGTGGGCGTGCCTCGCGCATTCCGAAGGTCACGTGAGCCTCGTTCTCTCAGCGGCTGTCGAATAGCTCGGTCGTTTGGGCGGCCTCTTGAGTGAGAGAGAGGCTTTCCTTTGGTCCTTTGCTCGGTCGGCCTGTGAGGCGCTGGTGTGAGCCTGTGAGGAGCTCCTCTCGGTATCGGTGTGGGTCGGTACTTGTATCATTGTTTGGTGAACCGAATTCTCACTGACAGTACGATACGATGGCGGCCTTCAACTGCATCTGGTGAGTGGAGTGAGCCAAGAATGGATGGGTGGGGCAACAACAACACGGACACACACACGCACGCACACGCATGGGCGTGCACATGGATGCCTTTGCTCATTGTCTGTGTGCCGTACTGTGTGTGTACATGTGTGTGATGTTTGTCACTCAGTGAGTTTTTGAACGCGATCAACGGTCAGATTACTGCGGCGGCGGCGGCCAACTTCGACATGGTGACGGACGTGGCCACCGACGCCACCATCGAACCGCTCCCCACACAGGGAGGTAAGCAGTGACGAGAGCCGAGCCGACTACACAGACACACACACACACAGAGAGAGAGAGAGAGAGAGAGCCTTGCCTTCGTCAACATATGATGGCGTGTGTGCGGTGTGGTCGGTGTGGCTGTGTCATTTGATTTGACCAGACACTGCTGCCGTCATGACGCCGGGCACAGTGCTGCTCACCGTGCTGCTCATCGCCTACCTCGTGCTGACATTCCAGGTGTGTACCGCCCCGCCCCGCCCACACACGCGCGCACTGGATGGATGGATGTGTTGTGGATGTCTGTGTGTGTGTGTGTGTGTGTGCAGCGTGGCGGCTCAGGCGGGGGGAAGCCCAGCGGGGGCGGGAGGGGCACACCGCCCCCCGGGCCCTCGCCGGACCCCATATTCTAGACACGCACACACACCATCACACACACGTCACATCACATTACTCCACACCACACCGCCCCACCATGGTGGGTAGCTAGCTCGGTCCGGCTTGCTCGTTTCTCTCTCTCTCTCCCCCTCTCTCTGTCTCTCCCTACCTCTGAGTGAGTGTTTGTCCTACCTCGTTGTTATCCTGGCCGTCCTGTGCGTGCGTGTGGACGTTGTGCGATGAAATGGAATCGATGGAGTGGGATGGGATGCGGCCGGCTTCTACCGTTTTTGGCCTGGCTGCCTGGCTGGCCGGCTGGCTGGCTGGCTGGCTGCGTCATCCCATCGCGAACGACCATGAGAGTGCAAGTTTTTCTTTTGCTGTGTGCTGTCTGTCTGCCTGCCTGCCTGCCTGCCTGTCTGGCTGTGTGGCTGCATCTGCACCTGTCCGTGCGTGGGGCGATCGTAAATACGACACACACACAGCTAGAGAGAGAGAGAGGGACAGGCGCGGAGAGAAGGAGGAGCCTTTCAGGCAGGCAGACAGACAGGGCTGGCAGATGGGAGGCTGGTGCTCAGCACTCGGCTCACACACAAGCATAGACAGACAGAGAGACAGACAAATGGGGGTCAAATGGGACTCTCCATGTGTGTGTCAATGTGCGTGGTTCGTTCGAGACTCTGTGTGTGTGTGTGTGTGTGTGTGTCGCGCCCTACCTAATGATGATGTACAGATACTCTCTGTCCTTTGCTGTCCCGGGCGGCGCTGCTTGGCGGCGTCCGACGCCGGCAACTGGTAGACAGTGAGCAGCGGCACTTAGCCAGCCAGACTGACGGACACGGGCGCACACACACACACACACACACGGCGAACCACACACAACGGTCACAGACAGCCAGACAGACAGACAGGTGCGTCTCTCACTCACTTACCCTTGTCGACTTGTAATATGGGATGGATGGATGGATCCAGGTGGTTGGTTTACTGTCTGGTTGTCTGTCTGCCTGCCTGCCTGCGCGTGTGTGTGGGTGTGCGTGTGTGCGTGTGTAGCGCGGGCAGTGATGCAGGGAGGGATGCGGGGAGGCGGGCAATAACGTACGACCCACGTTCCGTACGCACCGATGTGTGTTATATACCATATATACTAACTAGTGTACAGGTGAGCGTCTGTCGAGCGTCCCTGGCATGGCTGATGTGCTGGTGGTGTGGCGGATGAGGGTATGGATGGATGGATGCGCCCTTTTTTCGTCTGCGGGTGAAAGGAATGTCCGTGTGGCGTGTAGTCCGAGAGAGAGAGAGAGAGAGAGAGAAGTTTGCCCGCACATGGACATGGGTGATGTATGTGTTGGTGACGGTGTGATGATGGTGCCGTTGGTGTGTGGTGTTGGTGTGGACGGACCTGTCTGCCTGCCTACGTCATGTCATGATGAAGGCACACTATATAGTCTATACGCAACCAACGGGCCCACTCCACTGGATGAGCTTAGCTCTTGTTGATGGGAACCATAAAATCACCGTCTCTTTATTTTATCGTTCCGTGACATCCGAGTCAGGCCGGGCAATCCATCCATACATCCACCACGCCACCCCCCCAGTCACCACCCTTTAGTTGCTTACCGTGCGACAAACGAACAGACAGACAGACAAACCAGGCAGGCTCTTCAGCACATCCAGCCACTCCATAGAAATACCCACACACGCACACGCATTGACAACAAATCTATAGACACAGGTGGACAGCCAGACAGACAGCCATGCAGCTGAGTGGGCGGGTGGAACGCCGTGAGTTTGGTTACTTATGTGTATGTATGTGTGTGTGTATGTGTGTGCATGTGTGTGAGGGGTGTGTGTGGTCCTCTGAGAGCGGTGTGTTGTGTGTGACGTATCCGGCTTGCTCACCATACCACGACAAATGATTACACACACCACGCCCCACACACAGGCGCCGCCTGCCGCAGCACCCGCCCACCTCTCGAACTCACACACACATATAATGCAGATGGATATATAAAAAACACAAACAAAGATTCAGAGGGAAAGTAACCTCGACATTGCAATCAGTCCACACACTAACAGCCATCCATCCATCCATATGGACAGGCAGACAACAGAGAGCGGACCGTATACACACTAGAAATGAGCTGGGCGGCTCCTCCTCCCGCTGCTGCTGGTGCTGCTGCTGATAAAAGGAAAACGCAGCGAGGCCGGCAGAACAGAAAGGGAAGGAAGCTGATGCACGGCGGCACGGCTCTCTGTGTGTCTGTGTATCTCTGTGTGTCTGTGGGTCTCTGTGTCTGGGGGTAGTGGGTGCATCCTTTATCGAGAATCACTGTGTGCTGTGCTGTGCTGTGCTGTGTTCCTAGTAGGCACATTAGAAGCGATTTCCACACGCACACACATGCACACATACACTCACACACGAGGCAAAGGCACCGCAGACACCACCCAAGGGAAAAGACAGCCAGCCATCCAGCCGTTCCACCGTGCCACCACTCTTTTTCACGTAGCCGAACGAAATAAGTATACACAAAGACATTCATTGGCGAGGAGAGGCCTCTCATTGCTAGTAGGTAGCAGAGAGAGACGCACACACACACAGTGGGAGAGAGGGTCAGGCTGAGTGTGTGTGTGTGTGTGCGGGGTGCCTTCCCTTCGCTATCACTCGGTGCGGCTGTACATGGCCCAGACACACACACATCCAGCCGTCCATCCATCCAGGCAGACAGCCAGGCACAGCCAGGTCTATAATACATCACCCACACACACCCAAACACACCATCCATCCACTCGCCCCGGCAGGCATGCAACAAATCGGCCGGGCGAAAAACGAGATGATGAAAAAGAAGACAGAGAACATCTCTCTCTCTCGCCCGCTCCGCTCCCTCTCCCCGGCAACCAATCCACAAAAGACAGACCTCCAGCTCACTCCCCCCCCCCCC